TTTTCGTCACTTTTAATTCAATTAGAGGCAAATAAATGGAATTATCTGCCTCTAATTACATGAGTGGCAAATCTCGTATTTGCACCTAAATGTGGTGTTGCTAATAGTTATTAGGGGCAATATTGCACAAACTTCCGCCCCAAATACTCAATGCGCCACCTCAGCCGGTTTATTTGAAAAAGTATTAGAGGCAAATATAATCGCCTCTAATAACTTCTTAGGTGTAGATGTAAATGCCCCAAATAGTTTGAAATATAATAAATGTATTTACTTAAGGTACAAATATAATTGCCTCTAATAACTTATTAGATGCAGATATAAATGCCCCGAATAGTTGGAATTAAAATAAAGATATTAATTTAAGGTACAAATATAATTGCCTCTAATAACTTAAATTTGATATTAATATTTTATTTTTTAATAAATCTGGAAAAATAATTAATTTAATTCATATAATTAAATTGAAAAACAAACATAAAATAATTGAAACATGAATAACTTTGATTAATAAGAAGTCAATCCAATTTGATTACATAATAATGTACCAAAATTACTTAAAAAGAGTGACAAATAGTACTTAACAATAACTTAAATAATCAACAAAGTTGACCTTCAACATGAATGTAAAAATATCTAATTTTTATCCCTGTCATTCTAATCATTTGGGGACATCATCTGCTGCATAAACTCTGAATCATTGAGCATTGTTGTAAACTCTCCAGGTGAGTGTGGCACTGGGTGGTACAAAGGTGGCTGGCATGGATGGGGGTAGTAGAACTGCGAATATGATGTATACGGATACGGTGGAAGATGCTGATATGGAGGATATGGGTACGATGTCGGTGGAAGATACGGTGGAAGATGCTGATACGGTGGAAGGTGACTGTTGTTAGGATGGAGACCACTGCTGGGAGTTAAGACTGTAGTTAGGAGGAAGATTGTTGATGCGGATGTGCGTTCCCTGAAGTGATCATCTGTTTCAACTCATCCAACTCCTTTTGCTGTCGCTCATACTTTTCCTCAATTTCTGAATATTGAGATTGTAAATTAGCATATGCTCGCTCAGTACGTGATCGAAATGATGAAGATGTTGGCTGAGTTTGTGCCACACAAGGAATCATTTCTGGCGTCACCCCTCTTCCATAACCACGAACTCTACCACGAGTCTCTAAACCCCTTGCTGCTACATAAGCTTGTTGCCTTAGTTCTGATGTTTCCTCACCATGGGTTTCAACCAAACTCGTTAATTCTCGTAAGATCTTAACCTGAAAAAAGAATTCACTTCAACAGCCAAAATGAACACAATATGAAGTAAAGCAATTTTTTACATGTATTACTTGTCTAAATACAAATGATTAAATTTCAAACTCACCGCTAATTTGAGATGTTTTGACATTTGAGATGGTTTGACAAACTCTGATACAAGCAGGTTTCTCGAAAATTATATTGAATTGTACAAGCATTTTTCAGATGTATGGTAACCCAGAACTAACAGAACTTGAGATTCTAATTTATCTTTTTTAGCTCAATCTATGAGGTATTTTTATATGACCAATGTCAGTATACATATGTATCAGTAAATGCATAACATTACATACATATGCATAATAGTTGAGAAATATAGTAAAGTGATCAAGGCAAGATACGAAATTGGTAACTACTGCCATGGGGATAATTACTTACTTGAAACTAGCTCCATGTAGAGGCCTTCCTCCAAGAGCAGCAGGAACTCTTCCAGACGAAGAATTTCCATTTAGATTCCTAGAGAAAAGTTTGAGCAGGATGTTAACCGCTAGTTAGCTGCAAGAAAGTGTTAGGAATTCAATATTCAAGCAAATTCTCTTACAATATTTTTAATGATGTAAGCTGGCCAAGACTTTCCGGAATTGAACCATTGAGGTCATTATAAGACAGGTCTCTCAAAACATGTTAAAAAGTTGGTTACTAACATAGAACATTTTCCTGATGCATAAACTAAATAAACAAGTTTGCATACTAATGCTTTTTATAAGAGAAATGAGAAAATAGATAATGAGCCAAAATTTTCTGCTCTCCCTCTCCTCTCACTTTCATGTGCATGCACACGCAGAAAAGAAAAGGAAGAAAATACATTATTGGCATGTAGTTGAAGCCTCTTAATTTGAAACAAGCACATACCAGATGTTAGAGAGAAAAGAAAGAGCACAACTTTCTGATAATGGGAAGAAACATGGGTATCAATATTCTACTAGAAAAAAGAAGGTTTTGGAACATGGCAGAGAACTATAGAAAAACATGCGAATGGTTGCTCCATATCCATTTATATGTTTCTATGAATTTATACTCACAGTAAATCTTTTTATCACTTATGATCTTTCTCATACGCACCCAATTTCAGACAGAGTTAAGAGGAACAACATATCTATTATAGCTGCTATAGCTTGATATCCATTGTATCATAGGCATTACCGTAAAGTCTGAAGTCCAGAGCCAGTATAATATGGCAAGGAGCATATAGGAAATAGATACTCTTTTATCATTATCCACATAAGAAATTCCAAAGTTCACCTGGAGATCTTAAATAACAATAATTTCTAAAGGAACTTAGCTATATGTAACATACATCGATAACAATTACGAATGAACAGCTTAAATCAAGGTTGATCCTGGTAAAAAAATTAAAAATAAAAATAAAATAAATATACAAATGAACAACTCAAGTTTAGAAATTTATACCAAATATGGTTAAGATATCAATGAAATGTAGAGAATTGTAAAGGCAGCAAGGATACCAATAATGTACTCACAATTCCTGCAACCCACTTATAGTACCAAGAGAATGGGGAATTTGCCCTTGTATACTGTTCCCGCTCAAGTTTCTGTTAAAAACAGGAGATCTGTTACCATTTCCATTTATGATAAACATTAATAACTAATACTATCCATAGTCTGTTTTGGAGTTAGACCACAGTACTAAATAATGGATCTTGAAGTTACTGCTAGATATTACATGACAAAATTTCATAAACAGAAGTAACACTACTGAACAAGCATACAGAAAATAAAATAAAGTAAAAGTAACTTGTAAGCTCACATGCTTTGCAAATGATGCAGCTTAGATATGTCTTCTGGCAAGAGACCTCTTAGACCTTGGTTGTCTAAAGACTCTAAACCTCTGCAAATTCAGAAAATATTCAGTCACTTAAGCAAAAAAAGACAAATAATGACAAATAGGTAATTGTAATGTTTATTGTGTTTACATATAATACTTTATTGAAAAGTACACAACCATTCACATGTAGGAGCATGACATCATCAGACATCAATACATGCAAAAAATGCTTCATAGTGAGAAACGAAGTATGTTGTACATTATATCGATGTATGTATATATGCATGTACATGAGTGCCACTTGTGAGAAAGAAACTCAAATTATGAAGCAATTCCTATTTTACTATGCAGTTTGATATGATGCCGAATAGACCAAGAAGCAAATATTTGCAGTAAAGTTATGTGGCAGTTGATATGCACACACACAATGCATTTTGAGGATCCGCCTAGGGGGGGGGGGAAGGGAAAACACAATACAAGGTGCCACATGATATGATGCCGAATAGACCAAGAAGCAAATATTTGCAGTAAAGTTATGTGGCAGTTGATATGCACACACACAATGCATTTTGAGGATCCGCCTAGGGGGGGGGGGAAGGGAAAACACAATACAAGGTGCCACATGTAATAAGTATATTTCTTCCTACTCAAGACATGAATAGGCCTGCCCTCCCTTGTCATGACCCATGAGGTACATGTTTATGACAGTAACATGAACAACAATGAGAAAAGCCTAAAACTTGGACAAAAGCAAGCAATTAAAGCCCGTCTGGCTTAGGCAGGTAAGGTGCACCTATTTAGCTAATGATAGGGTGACCAATGGACCATTACTATGTCAGAATCTGAATTTACATGTAAGTTTTCTAGTAAATGTGTTTCTCGTCAAATATGCATAGCTACAATTCTTGCAGTTAACAATAAAGGGGTGAGTATGATGCCAAATATGTACAGCTACAATTCTTGCAGTTGACATTAAATTAAGACCAGGGGTGCATATATTACCCATGCAAAAACTCTATATTATAAATTCTCACATATAAAGACCTGCATTTGTTTATTAGCATATTCGCATGCGGATATATGTACCTACTTATAAGATTAGACACATATTCCTGTGGACTCAAACTTACAAGCCAAATACGCATGCTTCGGAAACACATTTTATTTAAAAACTGCAAATAAATTCCAAATAAAACAAGTCTGATTTCATCTCAAACATAACAAACTCTGTTTGTTGTTTTTCTAAATCCAGATAGGGAAAGGTATAGCATAGGAAAGAAAGTTTTGAAATTAAAGTAAGATATTGTTTAGATCATAAATAAATGCAAGGTCGAGAAAGTACAATCCATCTATGTTCCATTTGCCACTAACTCTGTCGAACTGGCAGTCCACTCCACTCCAAGGATGTTGCCGGGGAACACATGGATCACCATTCCAGCCAAGACGGAGTGGAAGCCCCAAAGAGTTCTTCAACACTAGCAAAGTTTTAACTATTAAAACACCATTTGAAAATGAGTTAGAGCAAATAATGCAAACATTTAGTTTAGCAAAACCTAATAATAACATAAAAGAGACCCCTAAAATAACACATTTTGTTCCTACCCAAGATAGAATAAAAACTGCTAATAATCATTATTAACCTGTTTATACAAAAATAAAGGATTATAGCTAAATGTTAGGAAAGTAATGTTAATCACTTTGTCCATTGTATAAATGACTTAGTAACATATAACATGTCAACAAGATACATTACGATACATTTGTTATCTATTACTAACGGAAGCCGATAGTTTTTCCAATGAGATAATACTAAGGGTATATAAGAGGAATGAAACTAATGAACTGAACACCATATGTAATCATGAAATATAAGCATTAAATCAAAGAATATTACTTCTCATGTGCATGAAGGAACTGATGTATTTTTCTACAGTAAGCCGGCAGACATACCTTCTTCAGATGAAGTTCTGAGCTCTGCTGCAATGACCTCAAAAACTTCAATTGCGATGATGGCATGACTTCCCCTTGAAGGGCGCAAGGTAACATTCAGAGTTTTCCCACTCACCACAATAGTTCTATTCAGCACAAGAGCTGTATTATGTTCCCCAGTACTATGAATAATATTAACATTTTTTAAAGCAATATCACCATTTATCAATATATCGAAGATCCTTTGTCCTTCACTTGATATTCTGGGATCAATCTCAGCAAGGTGAAGCCATATCGAATAATTTTTATGTGGATCCATCCATTTGAAAAAAGATAAATCAGGCTGCTTATCTGTGCTCACAATTGAGAGAAGAGAGAGAGAGAGAGAGAGAGAGAGAGAGAGAGAGAGAGAGAGAGAGAGAGAATAATCCATAAATAATCCAAATTCGAGGCAGAAATTATAAGAAAAATAACGTAAAATTCTCAGCGAAAGAAAGAGAGAGACTTCACCTTTGAAGAGGATCGAAGTTTTCCCGCGATTGGGGATCGAAGTCCGACGCGACGCACGAACTCCGACGGGGAATTTAGGGGCAGCGACGAACTCCGACGGGGGATTTGGGGGCAGCGACGAACTCCGACGGGGGATTTGGGGCAGCGATGAACTCCGATGGGGGATTTGGGGATTTTGAGGGATTTGGGATTTCTGATGAGAGAGAAAGAACGGGGGATTTTGGGGGGGGGGGTTTGGTTTTTTTCCTCTGTTTCGCGAAAATATTAACCCTAATTTGTTATTGTAAAAATAAATTGGAAAACAATAGGGGCGGAAGTATGTGCCTCCGTAGGACAATACGCGTGAATAAAAGCAGCGTGGTTTTTTTTAGGGTTTAGAAAACATTAGGGGCGGATATATATGCCTCTATTTAGTCCAAATTACTTAATTTGGCGCCTCTATTATTTTCAATTCCCACCAAACTTGTAGGGGTACTATGAATCGCCCCAAATAATAGTAATAGGCACATATTCAATATCCGCACCTAATTCATAATTATTAGGGGCAAATCACTATTTCTGCCCCTAATAGATCGCCCCAAATGCTCACTTTTTTTGTAGTGTGGTCTTTTTGTTTTGATGATGTTTTAACAAATAATTTACAACTAATATTGTTTGTCTAGTGTTTGTATTTTTGTATTTATTATAGGCAAATAATGTGTTGGATGTTGGATGGAATAGTGCATTCACGATCATATCTATTGGAGGATGGAAGGAATAGTGGAGTGAAGCAATATAATTCAAGTCATATATAAGATCAAGCTCCATCCGTAACCAAGTCAAGCATATTGAAGATCTCATAGCTTGGGTATAATGTTTTAGGTTATATTATGTGTGTTGATACTTCAAGCTCAATCACATACCACTAGTTTTCAAGTTTAAATATGAAACAAATGAATATAATTAGAAAATACATATTTGTTTCATGTTTATATGCTTATATATGATTTCATCAATATCAAGTTTATTTAGTTCAATGAAATCATGTTTATTGTTTTGAATGTTTGCAAAACATGCATTTTTATGAAAATATTGAGTTATTGATTTATGGACTTAATAATCATTATATACATCTTTTATTAAGTCTATATAATCACTTTATAAAGTTTCAAAACATGGTTTAGCTAAAATATCAAAAACAAGTATTATTCATTTTCATGTTTTGGACTATTTTAAAAAATAATGAGTTTTTACTATTGAGAAGTGTAATTCCAAAAATACTTTTTTGCAACATGTTTATTATGATGTTTACAATCATTTCTCAAAGTTTTATATTTTTTAGAATTTATTTGCTATTTTTAAAGGTAATTTAAAAATTAGATTTACTGTTTTAATCAGGCTGATAATTTGTTATCAGTCGACTGATAAACTCGCCTAGAATTACAAAAGTTTCTGTTTTTGCGACTAATAAACTATCAGTCGACTGATGAGGTCTTCAGTCGACCGATGCGCTGTGAGCTGCCTGTAATGGTCAGCTCATCTACAGGCAGCTCATCAGTCAACTGATACTGTTCATCAGTCGACTGATGGCTCCAACGGCTAGTTTTTCCAGCTTTGTCATGTTTTTCGATTTTTGGTCCTTTTTACCTTGTTTTCTTGGTTTTGAGGTTTCCCTTGTGATCCTATATATACCCCATGCCTCATAACTTCTGAGCAACCCAAGAAAATTATTTATACAAGTTTACAAAAGTTTAATAAGGGTTTAAGTTTGTTTTTAGTGTTTGTTTGGTTTGTGAAGAAGTTTTCACAAGTGGAGGAGATCATCTTTATTGTTTGAGCTTCAATCTCCATCTCTCCATCTTGTTTTTCAGAGAAGAATTTCTATCTTTATTGTTTGAGCTTCAATCTCCATCTCTCCATCTTGTTTTTCAGAGAAGAATTTCTAAACTCAATACTAGCTTTACATTAATTATTTTGTGTTTATCATCTTCATTAAGCTAGTGTTTACATTGAGTTTATATTTGATTTTCTCTTTGTTCACACACAACCTATTGAGCTTATTGTATTTGTATACATAGTATAATTTAGGGTTATGGGTTTGTGACTTAGAGAGTGAGCTTTCACTTAGTTCTCATCCTTGTGTTGGAGAACAAAATTTGTTGTTGAGCTTTCATTTGTGAGGTTACATTGTATTGCACAAGTACACCAAGAGGAGTGTAGATGTGAGAGACGTGGTCGGTCCCAAGAAGAGTGGCGTCGGTAGTAAAGCCTAGTGAGATGTAGTAATTCTGAGCACTTAAGGGAGACACGTGAGAGGCCAACACTTGAAGTAGTAGTTGTGTAGTTACATTGTGAGTGATTGTGAATGTTAATCGGTGAGTGTTGAAAACCGATATTGTGTGGTGTAAAAGTTTTCGGGTGATCGCTAAAAACCCGATGTGATAGTGGATTTCTCCCTAAGAGTGGGGAGCGAAGACGTAGGACGGAATGTCCGAACTTCGTGATCATTTGCTTGTGTTTGAACTTGCTTTGGCGTCTCATTTGTGCTAATCTTTCCAAAATTTAATGCCAGTGCCTTCCCCTAACTTTCGTTGAACAATGCACGATAAAGCATAGTGAGAAGATGAAATATTATGCCAAAATTTAGAGTCAGGGATGCTAGGAGGTGTGCATAAAAGGTTGAGTTGATTCTTTAAGTATAACGAAAAAGAACACGCCTCACATAAGAATTTTTGCTTAGGGGGGTGTTTGTTTCAATTTTTTTTTGGGATATAGGGTGGATTTCAAGTTTTGGGATGTAAAAAGTGCTTGTTTGTTTCAATTTTTTTTTGGGATATAGGGTGGATTTCAAGTTTTGGGATGTAAAAAGTGCTTTTTTTGAGTTTTGGTTTTGGGATATAGGGTGGATTTCAAGTTTTGGGATGTAAAAAGTGCTTTTTTTGAGTTTTGGTATTCCTTTAACTTTGTTTGTTTCACTTTTTTTTTGGGATATTGAATCCCTAAATTATAAAAAAATAATATTTTTTTAGGATTTGTGAAATCATCTCTTTTGTTTCAACTTTTTTTTGGGATATAAGGTGGATTACAAGTTTTTTGGGTTTTAGAATTCCATAAACCATGTTTGTTTCAAAACCAATTTTGGGATATTGAATCCCCAAATAATAAAAAACTATTATATTTTAGAATTTGTGAAATCCTACAATTGAGAGAGGATGTAGGTTGGATATTGATGTATTAATGCTTATAATATAAGATTAATACATCTATACCTCTATAATTATAGGAGGACCCAAGAATCACTGTTCATGCTTTAGTAAATGCTGCAGTAAATTACTGTAGCATTATATATATATATATAATATATTATATTATATAATAAATAATATATATATATATATTATATATAATATATATATAATATAATATTTATAATTT